CTAAAAGTGTTTGTGACAAGGAGGAGATTAAGGCAGCCGTGCCCTGAGCAGGGACCACCTGGGAGGCATTTTAAATGCATTTAAGTCTGTTTCTGCTCACAAGCATTGCCCAGCCCACAAATCCTTTTAGGCAGCAACAGACTGAGCCCCACACGGATCCCGTAGGGCCTGGCTCTGTGAGATGAGAGCGGACAAGGCCCATTCTCTCCTGCACATGTGGTCTGTATGGTGGGGACTGGACCAGCTTGGAGGTAGGGGCTCCCGGGAGCTCGGGCCCCTCCTACCTCCCAGACCCCGGACCATTGAAAGTGCATGCACTCCAGGGGGCCCCGGAGGAGGAGCCCCGTTCTGGATCTGTTCCTCCCTACCTGGCAGGTGGGGCAGGCCTCTCCCCCCCGCCACAGAAGACCCATCTGTAAGGTCCCCCCACTGGTGGCTCCAAGGGCAGCTGGTTCTTGCACAGCTGACCGGGGCCGGGGACGGGGTGTGTGCATGTGTGTGTGTCCCCAGAGGATGAGCCGGCAGAAGCTGTGTTCCTCTCCTGACACAGGCTCAGTCGTCACACCGCACACTGTCGCTGGTACTCCGGGGGCCAGGAACGCAGACCTCACCTCTCCACGGAGGGGTCTGGCAGACCACGGAGAGCTGGTGGCCTAGCGGTCTGGCAGACACAGGCTGCCCTTGGCGGTGTGCTGTCTTGTGGACCAACATCCACCCTGGGCTCCCCACCGGCAGAGTTGCCTGCAGCTCTGTGAGACGGGACCCGCTGGCAGCATCCCAGATCACTAGCGGTCGGTGCGCGCCTGTCTGCCAGGGTGAGGAGGACACCGGCGGCCCTGGCCCTGGCTGAGCCCCTTCCCACCTAGCGTGGTGTCACAAGCCTGGGCTGCCACCAGGCCACCACCACCCTGTCAACCACTGGGAGTTACAGTCTCTCATCCTCTTTGTGGCCAGGAATGCAAGCTTCCCAGGAGAAGGTGAGCCCTCGGGGACCGCCTTCCGCTGCAGGCTGGTGTTTCTGACTTGCGGTCACCATGCAGGGCTCAGCGGGGCAGCGGGCACGGTGGCGGCAGGGCCCGGCCCGCTGTGAAGTGGGGTTGAGCAGGCCGGAGAGGGGTGTGCTGCTGGAGGGACTGCCGTCCGAATCCCAGTTCTCTGGCTGGCTGTGTGTGTGCCCTTGAGTGTGCAGACAGCTTTCTTTTGTTCGCGCCTCAGTGTCTGTTTGCAAAGCAGTGGTCCCGTTGGCACCCCCGTCTGGGATTGCAAAGAAAATGGAGGGTCGGTGTGTGTGTGTGAGGGCCGGGGGGGCTTGGCCTTGCACTCTGCCGGTCCAGCCGGCTGCGCTCACTGCACACCACACCGCTGTGAGGCGGCGGGCCAGGTCCTCTGGAGAAGGCAGCGGTAGAGGGAAGGGAGACCCACCCTTCTCCTGTCCGCGGGCCAGTGAGCAGCAGCGTCCTTCCCCCTGCCTGGCCACCCCCCACCCCAGAGCTCCCACTAGAGCCTCTGACTCGTAGCCTTCGTGGACCGTTGGTTGGAGGGAAAGGAAGCCTGGCTGCTGCTCGTGATTCGGGCCCTTGTCTTGGGGCAGCAGAGCTGTGGCTGGTTCTCATCCCCCTTCTGAGCCTGCCTTCCCAGACTCGGCCTTCCCGGGCCAGGCAGGGTGCTGCCGTAGGCTGGGAGCCCGTCTGATTTCTGTGGGGAGCACAGACCAGGGGTTACTCTGCCAGGCGGCGCGGTGGGGCTCCGGCACGCTCCTAGTGGGGGACGAGCCCCATCAGGGACCCCCCTGCGGCTGTCCCTCCCCTCCCGTTGGGTGACTCTCCTCTCCTGTTGGGTGAGGAGACACCACAGGAAGTAGTCCTGCCTTTGTCTCAAGAGCAGTGATGAAGACGTTAAAAAAGAAAATCAATATGTAAGTCATAAATTGGAAGAAGATCTTTTCAAATGAACAGTGATGAGCAGTGTTGCAGGATCCTCTTTGGGACCCCAAACTGTGAGCTTCTCCCGGGAAGCTCGAGCCTGTGGAGTGAATCCTAGCTGTGTGCCCAGCTTGCAAAAGGTCTGCTCCGAGCCGGTGCCACTGGCTGCCCTTTAACAGGAGCAGGGAAGAGTCCAGTCCTGTGGCCGTTTGGGGCTGACACAGCCCTCTGAGCTGCCTGCCTGTCTGTGGGCATCAGCTACTAAATCCCAAAGAAGTCAGCCCTGAGTGCATCTGCGGGGCAGCCTGTGTCTTCTTGGGCCAGTAGGGAGGGTGTGGGGACAGGAGGGTGGCATTCAGCCACGTGTGGGCAGCTCCTGCCGGTGGTCTCTGCCAGGGAGACCCCAGGGTAGGGGAAGCAGTGTCTCAGCTCTCCCTCCCCAGAGTTCCCCGGCATGACTTCTTTCTGCGGCTCCTTGAGCGGCCTCCGCCTTGGATGGCAGGCAGTGTGATGCTCTGGGGTGGATCCTCCCCCAAGAGGCTGCAGGGCAGGAAGGCCACGGCACAGAGCCTCTCTCAGGGCACAGGGCTGGCTCCTGGAGGTCCTAGCCTGCCCTTCCCTGTACCGCACCTGCAGAGGCCCAGTAACTCTGGGTCCCACTCCAGGGACAGCACTCCTAGGGAGCAGATTTCTGAAGGTCTAGTAGGTCAGCACCAGGCGTGCAGCCCCCTTCCCTCCATCTCTGTCTTTAGTGTGGGGTGTGCAGGGCCAGGCCTTTGGCTCTAGCCAGAGCATCGCTCTCTTTCCCCACCTTCCTCTCCCCCTTTCACCTGATCCCCTTTCTCTTTCCACTCCTTCCCTCTCTCTCCCTCTGTTTCTCTCCTGCTCTCGCCCTCTCACCCTTGCTCTGTGGTCCAGGCCTGTCTGGCAGGGCAGCACCCACACTGGGCACTGGACTGGCAGGACCGAATGCACACTTCCCTCCAAGTTGGCATTCCCAGCCTGGCTGCCTTCGAGGTCATCCTTGGGAAACCTCCCTCAGTGCAAGCAGCCTTCTAGTTTTCTTACTGTTTTATCACTTTGGGATCCAAAAGGTCTCGCCTGTTCTTTTCACCTGACTTCACCTGGCACTTGGTTGTTTCCCACACCCAAGGGAGTCCTCAAGGGCCCAGGCAGACCCAGGGTTCCTCTGCTCGTGCGGAGGACCGGCCACTCGCCCCCATGGCTGCAAGGGAAGCGGGATGTAGGTGGAAACAAACCGATGGAAAGGAGAAACCGGTTACACAAAAGTACAGTGTTTCTCATGTTTGCTTTGTGCGTTGGTACTTTTTTGTGCCTTGTAGAGTAGGTTTTTTAAGCACTTGCAGGTTTTTTAACCATTGCTTGCCCATTTATCCACCTTTTAAAAAATTCTTACTATTTTATAAAACTTCTTGTGATGAAAAATGCTGAACATACACAAAGTCAACAGAGATAGTAGCGTGGGCTCACCCAGCGCAGCCATGGTCAGCATCCGCCTTCCTCGTGGCATTTACAGCTCTACCCCCAGTCCCTTGGCGATCAATTTCGGCAGAATCTACATAGGTTGAAGTGCATAAATCTTGGCTGTACACTGTTAACCAGTGGATGTGCCTGTGTGAGCCACGCCCATATCGGGATACAAAGCCTTTATGTTCCCCAGAACATGCCTCCTGCCCTTCCTGGTCTGTTGCCTCCCCCGCCACCAGCAGGTAGCCAGTCTGATTTCTGTCGCTTAAAATCAGTCTGGAGCCATGACATGTGATTCTTTCATGCTGCTCCTTCTACTTGGCAGGATGTCTGTGAGATCCGTCCAGGCTGTCATGTGTATCAGTGGCCCCGATGGACCACCGTTTGCTTATCTCTTCACCCGCTGGAGCACATCTGGACTCTTTCCAGTTCTTGGCTCTGTGAATAACCCCAGCATTTGTGAATAAGTCATTTGATGGACATATGTTTTCATTTCTCTTGGATAAATGGAGTGGAATTTCTGGGTCATATGGTAGGAGTGTGATTGACTTTAGCTAAAGATTTATTAGTGCTCTGTTCGTCTTTGGTGACTCCTGCCTACCCTGCTTGTCTGGCAGCATCCTGTACCCTTGAAAACTCTGGCTCCAGGTGATTTGTTCAGAAGTCTGGGTGAACTCCCAGCTGAGTGGTTCACCTGCTTATCAAACTTGGGTAATTGAGAGCGATTTTGCAATGGTTTTAAGCTGCCTCACTTCCTCCTTTTTCTGTTTTAAAGCGGTGTCCTTTCAGCTAGTGTTTTTTATTTAATATTTATTTAGTTAGTTAGTTCGTTAGTTATTTAGTTGCGCTGGGTCTTAGTTGCAGCTTCCAGGCTCCTTATTTGTGGCTTGCAGTTCTCCTTAGTTGCGGCTCACCAGCTTCTTAGTTGCAGCAGGCGGGCTCCTTAGTTGTGGGATGCGAACTCTTAGTTGCAGCATGCATGTGGGATCTAGTTCCCTGACCAGGGAGCAAACCCGGGCCCCCTGCTTTGGGAGCACAGAGTCTTAACCACTGCACCACCAGGGAGGTCCCTAGCTAGTGTTTAGCTATATAGATAATTGTGTGTTGATGTACTTAGGACTGCAGATGAGAAAGACCTACTAAGATCAGAATTTTAAATTAGTGAAGTTTTCTTTTCTAGTCCACAAAGAATCTATTATTAAAATGTAAAATGGGGGATGATGGGATGAATTGGGAGATTGGGATTGACATATATATACTTTGCATACTATGTATAAAATAGATAACTAATGAGAACCTATTCTATAGCTCAGGGAACTCTACTCAGTGCTCTGTGGTGACCTAAATGGGAAGGAAATTCAAACAGGAGGGGATATATGTATACATATAGCTGATTCACTTTGCTGTACAGCAGCAACTAATGCAACATTGTAAAGCAACTATACTCCAATTTAAAATACTGTGAAATAAAACCGCTGGGGAATACTGGTCTGCCTAGGAGGCCTGCTCTGGGCTCTGTCATCACCGTCATCACCCCTCCCTCCCTCCCTCCTTCCCTCCCTCCCTCATGTGCTTCCCTGCTTCCTGCAGCCCCACTGGGACTCTACTTCTCAAGGGATGCTTACTGGGAGAGGCTGTACGTGGACCAGCCGGCCGGCATGCCCCTGCTCTACGTCCACGCCCTGCAGGACGTCCCCGAGGAGGTGCCCAGCTTCCGCCTGGGCCAGCACCTCTACGGCGCCTACCGCACACGGCTGCACGAGAACGACTGGGTCCGTATCCAGGAGGACACGGGGCTTCTCTACCTTAACCGGAGCCTGGACCACAGCTCCTGGGAGAAGCTTAGCATCCGCAGTAAGGGAGCAGCCCTGACCCCTGCGCACCTCACTGCCCCCACCCCCGCCCTCGCCTTAGCCTCACGCAGCACACATCACACCGAGGGTGGCTTCCCCTACGGCCCCTGCTGTGTGAGAGTGGAGAGAGTGAGATGAGGCTGGCCTGCCTCTGTGCGCAGCCAGTGAGAGAGCCAGGGTGAGCTTGGGGACCACTGATGACCCTTAGGCTTTCTGAGGCTGTTTGGATTTTGGAGAACCCGTGTGAAGGATTTGGGTGCTCTGTCCATGCAGGATCCAGATGCCTTTTCCAGTTGGGTTAACAAGGATTTGGGGTTGTGAGAGAGGAGTTAAGAGGAGAAAAATCCCAAGATCTTGCTTTAGCAAATGGTCTGCAACTTGCTGGAGAAGCAGCAGTTCCCACGGAAAGTGTGGCTCGCAGTTCTCCTTAGTTGCGGCTCACCGGCTCCTTAGTTGTAGCAGGTGGGCTCCTTAGTTGTGGGATGCGAACTCTTAGTTGCAGCATGCATGTGGGATCTAGTTCCCTGACCGGGGAGCAAACCCGGGCCCCCTGCTTTGGGAGCACAGAGTCTTAACCACTGCGCCACTTGTCAGCAGCAAGCTGCCCTTGACACCTACCAGGGACTTGGGCCTGGTGCCAGAGATGGAAGTGGAGCAGGGAGGAAGGCCTGGCCAACTCCTCAGAGCAGAGGTCCCAGCTGGAGCGTAGGCCATGTGGGACCCTGGGACTTGCGGGGAGCAGGGGTCGTGGAGCAGAGTTGTGCCTTGTGGCACTAAATGGCGATCACACACCCAGTAGTGCCCCCCTCTGAGCCCCTCCACCGTAGACATGGCCTCCCTGGACCCTCACGCCAGCCCTGAGCCCCCGTGTGCGCTGAGACAGCCGGCATGCCTGGGAACACAGAGTGGGCGGCACCACCTGGCAGGGGCAGAATGACCGCACCCATCTGCCAAGTGAAGCCAGGGTCCGCAAGTAAAGATGCCCCCCGTCAGGGCACCCCAGGCGGCTCCTGGAGGAGGTAGCACCTGACATAGGTCTTGGTTCCGCACACACTTAGTTGCCGCCGTCTGCATCTCGAGCCCCCAGTGGGGAACTTGAAGAACCAGGGCCACTGGGGTGGAGGCCAGAGTGGAATCTGCTGAGGGTCTGAGTTTCATAGGAGGCCTGTTCTGTTCGTGACTGGAGAGTGACCTCGGGTACCTGTCGGGTCCAGTCAGGAGAGAAATCAGTAATTTGAACAGGGAAAGTTTGTATAGAGAATTATTAACCACAGCAGGAGATTGGAGCAATGGAGGACAGGCTAGTAAGAAGCACAGAGAACGAATGAATACGGGAGGAGCAGATGTGAGGGGCAGCCACTTCCCCAGGGCTGAGATAGAGGGCCCTGGAAGAGCCCCCGACCCCAGCTGAGATCCAGACTAGTTGGAGGGGGAGCTGCTGTGGTGCCTCCATGCTGGAACTTGCCAGAAATCCCCTCTCTAGGTGCTGGGGAAGTCTGTGTCTCCGAAGACAGTGAAACTGCCTGGGGGGCGGGGGTGGGGACATGGATTCCCTGGCAGCCCAGTGCTTAGGGCTCTCTGTGCTTTCACTCCCGAGGGCCCGGGTTCAATCCCTGGTCGGGGAACTAAGATCCCGCAAGCAGCGTAGCCAAAGATAGAAAAATAGAATAGAATAAATGAAAGTGTTTTTTTTTTTTAAAAAAAGAACTGCCTTGGGGAATGGGGCGGGGCAAGAGCCCTCCCTGGGGAAGCTCTCCACTTGGTGTTGGACCCAGGGCTCAGGGCACCTCCCTGAGGAAGGGTATTTGAGCTGAGACCTAAAAAACAAGGGAGATGGGCCGGTGAGGCACCCCGAGGAGGTGGCGGCCGGGCCAGAGAGCCCAGAGGAGCCCTGTGGACCCTGGTGAGGACTGGACTTTGCCCCAGCCCCGAGCTCCTGCCCCCTCCCCTTCCTGTTCCGTTCCCCACCGCTGGGCAGGTGTGGCTGACACCCCGGCGGGCCTAACGACTTCTCTCTCTGCAGACGGTGGCTTCCCGCTGCTCACCGTCTACCTCCAGGTCTTCCTGTCGCCCACGTCCCTTCGTGAGGGCGAGTGCCAGTGGCCAGGCTGTGCCCGAGTGTACTTCTCCATCATCAACGCCTCCTTCCCGGCTTGCGGTGCCCTCAAACCCCGGGACCTCTGCTTCCCCGAGATGGGCCTGTCCTTCCGCATTAGGGAGAACAGGCCTCCCGGCACCTTCCACCAATTCCGCCTGCTCCCTGTGCAGTTCCTCTGCCCCAACGTCAGCGCAGCCTACAGGCTTCTGGGAGGTGAGTGCCCGCCACGTGGAGCCTTCCTCGGTGCCTGCTGAGTGCTAGGCACGGCACTGCAGTCCCTCTGCACAAGCCATCGAGTTTACTCTGCACCACCCCATCATCCGTTCATTCAGAAGTCCACGAGTATCTCATGTACGCCTGCCACGGGCCAGGCACTGTTCTGGGGACCAAGGAAGAGAGAGCGAACGCATCAGGCCAAAATCCCACCTGCCTGGAGCTTCCATCCCGTGGGAGATGGAGACCACACACACGTGCTAAGGAAATCGGGTGGCCTCTGAAGGGACTAGGTGGGACGTAAAGCTGAGAGGGTGTGGAGTGGTGAAGACCACTGTCTCAAATCAGATGGCTGGGAAAAGGGGACACTGGAGCAAAGGGGAGGGGTGCGAGGCAAGCAGGGCGAGCCCCTTCAAGAGCACCAAGGTGGGAGCCCCATGTAGCTGGAGTGCAGTGAACCGCAGGGCAGGGCGGAGGCTGCTGAGGGCGGAGCAGTTCCAAGTGGGGGGCAGGGCTTCCTGCCGAGGGACTGGGGAGCCATGGAAGGTGTTTGGGAGGGGGCGTCATTGACAGGACATACCTTACCGTTAAGAGCTGGCTGCTGTGTTAGAAATGATTGGGGGTGGGTGGTTTAGGGGCAAGCAGAGAAACAAATTAGGAGGCAGGAGAAATCCTTGAGTGAGAGGATGAGGTCTGGGGTGAGGGTGGAAACCTTTGGGCAACAAGAAGCAGGCGAGCTGTGGGCTTGTTTGGAAGAAGGATCCTGCAGGATATCCTGGTGAGTTGGACGTGGGGTGTTGAAAGAAAGAAGGGACCAAGCGTGGTTCCAGGATTCCGCCTGAGCAGCCACAAGGACAGTGGACCTTGCCACAAGATGGTCCTGCCACAAGATGGCCCTGGGGAGGCCAAGAGCACAGATGTGGGGAGGGGAAGGGAATTGGATCCCAGTGGAGGTGAGAGAAGGCAGCTGAGGTGCCATTAAACCATTTAAAGGCAAGGAACTGGGACTCAAAAGGGACACTTACAAGCTGGACTTACTAGTAAGTAGAACCTGGATTCACACCAGGTTGACGGCATACACACGGTAATAATGTTGAAGAAAATCTCAGTAGCGTAAGGAAAGTAGTCACTCACATTGTCCCAGCATCTTTTCATTTATCCTGCAGCAGGGATAGATGTCTTTGTGCAGAGTTGCCGGCCAAGTGTATGATTTAGCGTGCTGCCTTTTTTGCTAAAAAAAAAAAAAGGGTTTTTTGTAACCGTGAACAATAGAGGGACATGTTTGCATGATAAGCATTTCCCACATGTGTAATTCACATGTAATGTGTGGCTCTGATGTGATTTCCCACTGAGTGGAGTTGACAGCCCTCCCGTGCTTGGCTGTGGGGTGGTCAGTGTTGCTCTTCAAGCCTTCAGCCTTTCCCCTTCTCTGGGTCATTTCTGGAGGATGAATTCCAGGACAGGCCTGGCTTGAAGAGTGTATTGTTGTTACCGGTCCTCCCTCACCGGGTTGTGGGAAGACACGTGAGTCACTGAACGTACAGCAGTGTCTGGCAGGGAACAGACACTTTTGTCTTCATTATCTCCTCTTCTGGTGAGGAAACTGAGGCACAGAGAGACAGAACCACCAGCCTTGGGCCACACAGCCAGAAGGTGTATAGGACAGGGATTCAAACCAGGCAGTCAGAAATACTTGTGTGTTAATATAAAATCACACCAGATGTCCACCATGTTTGTTTCCAAGTGGTGGAATAGCTTTATTTCTCACATTCTCTAAAATAAGCACATACCACTTCCATAATTAAAAAAAAAAAATTCCTAAATCTTTTTTTTTCAGAAACCAGCAAATGCTGGGAGCTGAATCTCTGGGCTGAGCTGGTGCCAGCCCTCCCCACAGCAGAGGCAAGGTGTGTGAAGGGGTGTGCCCAGCCCTCCTAGGTGATCAGGCTGAGGTCCTGATGCAGGCGTCCTGGTCCCGGTCCCTCTGTTTCCCATCAGTACCAGTGCAGGCTGCAGCCACAGTGAAACTCAGGGTACAGTCTTCACTGCAAACTGTGCTTGGAGCGCCGTGCCCCACTGTGGAGCCGAGGAGGGGCCAGGGCCCAGGGCCAGCATGCACCCCAGCTCCATCCACAGGGCCCCCTCCCGTGCTGCCACTCCCGGTGGGCCCCTGAGGAAGGCAGCTCACCCTTTCCCCAGCCCGGGGGTCAGCCCGGGGTTCCTGGTCTGCTTGGTGCGCAGGTGAGAGTCTGCCCTTCCGCTGCGCTGTGGACAGCCTGGAGGTGAGCACGCGCTGGGCCCTGGACCGCGAGAAGCGGGAGAAGTATGAGCTGGTGGCTACGTGCACGGTGCGCGTCGGCACGCGTGAGGAGGAGGTGATGGTGCCCTTCCCCGTGACCGTGTACGACGAAGACGACTCTGCGCCCAGCTTCCTTGGGGGCGTCGACACCGCCAGCGCCGTGGTGGAGTTCAAGCGGAAGGAGGTGCCTGTCCGTTTGTCTGGTGCTTGTCTGGTGTCTGTCTGTTCCGTGTCTGGATTCCTCCATCCGTCATTTATTCCTCGGTCTGTTCAGCGGTTCGTCTAGCCATCCAGACATGTGGCTGACCGTCCATCTAGCTATTCGTCTTTCATTTGTCCATCAGTCTGTGTGTCGGGGTTTTCTGTCGGTGTCCAGGACAGCTGAGGAGGAGAGAGGAGGCCAGCCCCACCGGCACCCAGCTGACCACTGCCTTGGGAGGCCGGGGGCCCTGAGTGCCCAGTCTGTGTCGGACGCCACGGGCGGGGCCCCAGGGCTCACATCGGCAGGGATCTCCCTGCGCCCCATCCCGGCCCCACCCTTTTCTGGTCCATGCAGGTGGAGCGTGACTGCCACCTGCTGGGCCTCGGGCTGTCCTGCAGCTGGCAGGCCAGCAGGAGCAATGGAAGGGTGGGGGCGTAGTATGTTGTCACTGCCTGCTTCTCTGAGCAGGTTTGGCGGATGAGCCAGGGAGAGGAAAGCACATGACACAGGGGAATGTCTCACGAGCCTGGCAGGACCCCCTGGTGGTGACATTGGGGAGCCTGGTTAGCAGTGAGAGCAGAGATGCCCTGTGACTTTGCTCAGAACCTTCCTCGTGACCCTCTCCAGCCTGGTGTACAGAAGAGACTTGGAGAAGAGCATTAAGATGCTTGGAGGAGGGCTTCCCTGGTGGCGCAGTGGTTGAGAGTCCGCCTGCCGATGCAGGGGACACGGGTTCGTGCTCCCGTCTGGGAAGATCCCACGTGCTGCGGAGCGGCTGGGCCCGTGAGCCATGGCCGCTGAGCCTGCGCATCCGGAGCCTGTGCTCCGCAACCGGAGAGGCCACAACAGTGAGAGGCCCGTTTACCGCAAAAAAAAAGAAAAAGAAAAGATGCTTGGAGGAGAGCATTCTTGTGGATACCTGGGCTTGGATCCCAGGTCTGCTGTCTGTCACTCTATGGCACTGAGCTAACTCCTCCGCCTTGTGGGGCCTGGTTTACTCAGGGAAGAGTAGGAATGCTTGCTCTGCTCTATGGGGACCTAGATGAGGTCTTCAACAGAGCACCAGGGCATGTGCTCTCATCCATCCTTATGGGGCATCTGTAGATGCCTGTCACACCTGCTGCGCAGGTGAGCTGCAGTGGCCCAGGAAGGGTGACCGGGGCAGGCTGACTAGGGGCCCCAGGGAACTTGAACCCAGGTCAGTCTGTCCCTAGAGCCAGCTCTGACTGCACACACCTGGTCCACTCGTGGGGCACGTGCCTTCCCACGGTCTCTGGCTTTAAGGGCCCTAACTGGCACCCCCTGTTCTCTGCAGGGCACTGTTGTGGCCACACTACGTGTCTTCGATGCAGATGTGGTGCCAGCATCCGGGGAGCTCCTGAGACGGTACACAAGCACGCTGCTCTCCGGGGATGCCTGGGCCCTCCAGACCTTCCGAGTAGAGCACTCGCCCAACGAGACCTTGGCCCAGGCCAACGGCAGCTTTGTGCGGGCAACCGTGCATGACTACAGTAAGAGAGGCCAGATGTGGCCTGGCTGGGCCCCCTGGGGAACCGGCGGCCCACTCTCCTTGGACGGGGCAGCACCCTGCACACACAGACGCCTGTCCTGGCCCTCTGAGCACCAGGCAGCCGCCCCTTCCACTCCTCCTCCCAGCCTTTGTCTCTTCTGGGCTTGCCTGGGCCACCTTGGTGGGTGTTCGCAGGCTGTCCTCTCCATGAACTGTCCTGAGGCCGACCCTGGCAGGACACCACAACACCTCCCCGTGCTGGCCACGCCAGGACTCACTGCAACACGTATGTCATCACCGAGGCCTCCCTCTGGCCCCTGGCACCTGCTTTGCCACCTCCCAGGTGCCCGAGTGCCCAGGGGTTATTATTGCCCCCTCCCCCCACCAGCAACTCTCTACTCACAAGGGGTTGATGTATCCATACAATAGCAGCTCAGTGTCCTAGAGTTGGAGGGTTCCCCGATGATTGTCCTGTCTGGCTCCTGGAATGCGCCCACCCTCAGGGCTGAGCTCCAGGTGCCCGCATTGCTCACCTGCCGGATGGGGCATACTCATCCTCAAGCTTCCCTGCCTCCCTCCCCTGCCCTCCGGCCCGTGTTTTCTAGCATCACCTTTCAAATACCACACTTGCACTTGGGTCCTTGTTTGGGGGTCTGCTTCTGGGGAACCCAGGATCGCTGGTGCCTTTACCCCTTTCTGGCTGGCCTGATCCTATTTGTTTCTCATCCTCCCCTCCCCCACCAGGCCTCTGAAGCCGTCTGTCCTGTGTGAGGGAAAACGTCATCCTTGTCCCTGCATACTCACTCTGGTGCCATGTGCACCAGAGCCTCCCCTCCCCCTTTCTGTCTCCACTAAACTAAAACCTTAGCCTTGGCACACGGCAGGTGCTCAGAAGCGTGGAAGCTCCCGGGTGCTGGAGGCCTGTGGAATCCAAGGGTCCACAGGAGGCTGGTGCTGTTGAGAGTTCCCAGGGGCTAGCACAGTCTTCCCAGGGCCTTGGTGGTCGCGGCTCTTTACCTTGTGTGGCCTACCCCACACTCACATCACACACACACACACACACACACACACACCCCCAAGGTTACCTCCCAGCTGAGAAGGGTCTTCTGGGCTCCCAGCTCAGCACAGCGGCGCACTACTTTCAAATAGTAGTGCTACCTTAATGCCTCCTGCCAGGTCTGTTATCTGTGTCCGTGTGGGTAGAGGTACCCGTTTCCACGTGTGTGGGGGGAGTGCGTTGGGGAGGAGGCATGCAGCGGCGTGGGACAGTGGTCCCAACCTGCAGGGCCCCCACCCATCATCACCGTGTACCGTCCACACAGACACACCCCCTCCCTCACCCTCCTCAGGGCTGGTTCTCAACCGGAGCCTCCCCATCTCGGAGAGCCGGGCCGTGCAGCTGGCCGTGCTGGTCAACGACTCGGACTTCCAGGGCCCGGGGGAGGGCGTCATCCTCCTCCACTTCAACGTGTCTGTGCTGCCCGTCAGCCTGCGCCTGCCCAGCACCTACTCCTTTGCCGCGAGCAGGCGGGCCCGCCGCTTCGCCCAGGTGAGCCCCCAGCCTGCTGCCTGCCTGGGGAGGGGTGTGGAGGGGCAGGAGACCCCCAGGGTGGCGTGCTCCGTTGAGCAGATTTCAAGCAGGGCTGGAGGGTGGGTGACACCCCCTCCCTGAGCTAAGTAGTGCACGGAGTGGCCCCAGGGAGCTGCAGGCACGGGGCCAGGAGGGCTGGGGCCATGGAAGAGTCATGAGCAGGGCTCGTAGGTTTTGTGGGCCCCTCTTCTTTGCTGTCTCCTTTCTTGGCATCTTTAAAACATTTTGTACTCATGAAAGAGCAGCGCCAGGTAAATCTATGCATGCAGACTTGGAAAGACGTTCCTGGTGACTTAAGTGAAAAAGTGGTTTGCGTGAGTGCTGGTCCCTAGGTTCAAAATGAAGTCCTCATTGCTGGGAGTTTGCAAGTGTGCAAATGCAGGCAGCAATTAAAGGTGGCGCCCTCTGCAGGGAAAGATAGGGAGCGCTTCTACTTTCCACTCTTCTGCAAGTCTGTTTACTAGAGCTTATTTTGCATTTGTCGTTGGAAAATAACGATTAGAAGTAGAAAAAATGAAAGTAATAAGTATTCGTCAAAGGAGATAAGGGATAGACAGGAGTGATCTCTTTTTCTCATATTAGCCAGTGTGTAACATTTCGGTGCAGTTCTTCCGAGAATGTGTCTCTTAAGCGCTTTTTAAAGTTCACTTGTGGTTACAGCAAGCATATGACTTAACGTACTGCGTTCTCCTAGTGGGGCAGCTGCGGCCACATCCTCTTCAGAACATCCCGTTTAGGGCCATCTCCTATTTTCCAGTGGTTTTGCCAGTTTCTGTGGTTGGTTCCCTTACCTCCTGGCAGCCACCTGGGGCCAGCAAACGAAGAACCCCACCCTTGGACACATCCAGGCTCCCCAACCTGCCACCCAACCTCGGGCCTTTCCTGGAGGCAGGGGTCAAGGGTGGTGGGAGGTGACAAAGCAGAGGGGCCTGAGGGGGGTCTGGGGGTCTGAGCTGGAGCAGGCATTGCTGGAGGTGGGTCATCTATGCTCCAGCAGACTCAGGAGGGCACAGGGACCCAAGTCCCAGTGCAGCCTCAGACTCACTGTGGTCTCTCACCGGCTCCCCAGTTTTTATGATTGTAAATTGAGGATGATGACCTTGGGCAATTTTGAGGGTCACTGGAGAGAGTGGAAGTGAGCCCGGCTTGTACAGGGAAGTGCTTGGAGCCCAGCAGGTGGTTTTATTGTGGCGTCGAGTGTGGGCTTGGAGGAGCCTGGCTCTGCCCTGGGCCTGAGTCGGGCTGAGCAAGGGCATGGTGTGTGGCTGCAGGCAGGGCCCTATCCCCGCTCCCCCCACCAGGCCCCCAGCCCTCAGCCTTGACTAGTCAGAGCTTCTGATCTCAAGCCACCCGCAGCCCTTACGGTAACTCAAGTGGCTGGGCGGGTAAAAAGGAGAGTTCAACTGACCAGCTCCAGGCCCCAGTGACCACAGCTGCCAGCCTAGCACCCCTGGGAGAAGCATCCCTTCTCTCCCAGGGGTTCCAGCCCAAGTCCCAGGAAGGCCCCCTGGGTCCCATGTGGGACAGACAACCATGCTGCATGAATCGTGGCCCGGGTGCCATGTTCTGACTAACCAGGCGAGTGACCTGGCTCGGGCGTGGACCACCCCAGGTGGGAACTTTGCTTTGCTCCCAGAGCAAAATTGGCCTGGCCAGAAGAGAGGGAGGTGTGTAAGAGGCATACGGGCTGCCTTTGTGCCTGAATGAGTGAGCAAGTGAGGGATGAGCTGGGCAGGCCAGCAGCACCTCCCTGGAGGGCCAGCCCCCAAAACCAACCCCAGTGCCCCGTGTTCCTTCACCTCCGGCTCTGAGGGGCAGGTATGGGTAGTGGTCCCATGGTCTGGGCAGGGCAGGACCAGGCAGGCGGATGGTCTGCAGGTTCCGGGGGCGTGCGAGATGGGGAGATGGGGAGCTACCTTCCTGGGCTGAGTAGGAAACTGTCCTGGGACTCAGGCTGCCAGGGAGCCCCTCCAGCCACCCTCACAGGTGGTCCAGCCACCCAGCTAAGGATTCCCTGTGTCCCATGCCTAGATTGGGAAAGTCTGTGTGGAAAACTGCCAGGAGTTCAGTGGCATCCACGTGCAGTACAGGCTGCAGCTCTCCAGCGCCAACTGCAGCGCCCTGGGGGTGGTCACCTCGGCCGAGGACACCACGGGGACCCTGTTCGTGAACGACACGGAGGCCCTGCAGCGGCCCGAGTGTGCCCAACTCCAGTACACGGTAGTGGCCGTCGAACGGCCAACCCGCCGGCAAGCCCAGGCCCCACTGCTCGTCACACTGGAGGGGACATGTGAGTGCCAGGGCTGCGGGGAGGGTCGGGCTTCTCCCACAGAAGGGCCCCGGTCCCGCTCCCCCTCACTAACTGGTGGCTTCCCTGAGCCTGAGCCTTCTTCCCTGTAAGATGAGAAAACGGCGCACGCCGCACAGCCAAGCTGGAAGGATGACAGGGGCAAAGTGTGAAACAGTTTAGCCCAGAGTGACAGCATTGTGGACAGTCACTGCTGCCCATCACCTCTGTCAGTGCGTCCTACCTATGCACTTGCTTTAGGGCTGCCAGATACAATAGAGGACCCTGCTTAAACGTGAATTTCAGGTAAACAACAAGCAATTGTTTTGGTGTAAGTACGTCTCGTGCAACTTTTGCAGTGTCTCTTAGAAGACAAACTTCCAAGCGTGTCACCGTGATATTAGGGACGTATTTACACAAAGCAGGGGTTCACCGTTATCTGAAGGTCAGGTTTAACTGGGTGTCCTGTGTGTCACTGGCCGAGTCTGGCCACCTCACACCCTCCCTCCATACTTATCTCAGCCCAGTAGCTGTCCCCGCTTTGTGACTGTGGTACCACCCCTTCCTCAGCAGCCCCCTCACTGCCCTGTGCCCCGGTGCTTAGTCACTACCTCCCCCCTGGGCTCAACCCGTGGGGACAGCTAAGCCACTGCTGCCCTCGCCCGTGGGTGCTGGCGGCTGGACACAGGGCCCAGGCTGGCCCCCTGTGACTTGCTTTCTGCCACCCCCAGATGTGGCAGAGGAGCCAGGCTGCCCCCTGTCCTGCGCGGTCAGCAAGAGGCGGCCCGAGTGTGAGGAATGCGGCGGCCTGGGCTCTCTGACGGGCAGGTGCGAGTGGAGACAGGGAGACGGCAAAGGTAGGCCCCGTGCAGAGCCGGGTGTTCGGGAGGGTGATGACGACTGAGTGGAGAGGGCGTCTGTGTGGGCCCTGCCAGCCTCTGCGATGCCCCCCACCCCCGTCCACGCTGAGTCTCTTCCCCAGCGCCTTGTCCCCTGCTGTGACTCCTGATGCCAGGAGAGGGTGGACATTAGTGCAGGGTGGCATGAGGACATTGGGGCTGTTTATCACCGTGGGATCACAGGTGCCTGAGGCTGGACTCGCTCTGGGCTTGGGAGGGTCTGGGCCAAAGTTGGGATGTGCGTGTTTTCTTTTTATTTTATTCTAAATTTCTGTACATATATTTGTCCCTAAACTAGATGTGAATTGGCATCTGTGTCTCCATTTCTCCACCCGTATGCACATAAATTACGTGTGCAGTTGTGAATGTATTCACCCAATGCTTTTATTTTTTTTAAACTTTTTATTTTATATTGGAGCATAGTTGATTAACAATGTTGTGTTAGTTTCAGGTGCACAGCAGAGTGAGTCAGTTATACACATACACGTATCTATTCTTTTCCAAATTCTTTTCCCGATGAGGTTGTATGTAATATTGAGCAGAGTTCCCTGTGCTCTACAGTAGGTCCTTGTTGGTTATCCATTTAAAATATAGCAGAGTGTACATGTCAATCCCAAGCTCCCTAACTATCCCTCCCCCTAACCTTCCCCCATTCCCCCTCTGCTTTTATTTTTTTTTATATCTTATAAATTTATTTTATTTTATTTATTTTTGGCTGCACTGGGTCTTCGTTGCTGTGCACGGGCTTTTCTCTAGTTGTGGCGAGCAGGGGCTACTCTTCGTTGTGGTATGCGGGCTCCTCACTGCGGTGGCTTCTCTTGTTGCGGAGCACGGGCTCTAGGCATGCAGGCATCAGTAGTTGTGGCCGATGGGCTCAGTAGTTGTGGCTCGTGGGCTCTAGAGCGCAGGCTCAGTAGTTACGGCACACGGGCTTAGTTGTTCTGCGGCATGTGGGATCTTCCCGGACCAGGGCTCGAACCCGTGTCCCCTGCACTGGCAGGTGGATTCTTAACCACTGCTCCACCAGGGAAGCCCTCACCCACTGCTTTTAGACACAAGTTCACAGACCCTTTTCAAAGATCCAAAAGGTGGATGAGTATAAGGTAGGTTACACTGTGCACATCATTCATAGTTGGCTTTAGTTCATAAAAACACAAACCTTAAAAAAAATTCAAAATATCCAAAACAATCTTCAGAGAAGCTCTACCTGGGAGATCCCAGCCCTGGGAGTGTGGCCCCAAGCAGGAGGAGCCTGCACATCCTTGGGCTTAGCCCACTGCTGGCTCCAAGCCTCGCCCACCAGCGTGAGGGTCCCGCTCACGGTACCGCCTTGAGAGGGTCCCAGCCTTGTCTGGTCTCTTCTGGCCTCCTTGATGTGAGCCCGGGCACAGCCCTGGGACTGCCCAGCCCTCACTGCCTGGGCTGCCCTGTACACCCCGGACCCCCAAGCTCTCCCCAGGGATGGGCTCCACGTGTGGTTTTTCTCGGCTCAGGCCTCGGTTTGCTTCTCCTTGCGGGGGGCGGTGCAGGCTTGGCCTGGGAGGCCCTGGGTGCGGCCCTCCCGGCTCTGGACGTCTGACCAGGACGGGTGCTCCCTCATGGTAGTAACTGCCTGCTGTGTGCCATAGGGATCACCAGGAACTTCTCCACCTGCTCCCCCAGCATCAAGACCTGCCCCGATGGCCACTGTGACGCCGTGGAAAGCAGAGATGCCAACATCTGCCCCCAGGACTGCCTCCGTAAGCACCGAGCCTGTGCGTGTACCTGAGCAAGGGCAGGGCCTGGGAAGGGGGTGTAGGTAGCAAGCTGAGGGGGCTCGGACTCCCACCTGCACTTCAGCCAGGCCAGCCAACTTCCTGGGTTGCATATGCTGAGCCTTTTTCTAACATTTCATTTGAACGAAGGGCTCTCCTCCCCCAAGACTAGCGCCTGCTGGCCTGACCCACCCTCTCCAGTGTTGTCCTGGCCAACTCACGGGGGTGCAGCGCCCTGTCCCCCATTCCGCTGGCTCCAGGCTGCCCCTGCTGCCCGTGCTCTGCTTCTGAAAAGTAACCATGTGTGGACCTCAGCAAGGGCCCTGGGCAGCCTGTGGGTTCCTCCTCGCGCCCGCTGTGGCCAGGGGACTGGTTTGGGGGCCTGTCGTGCTGAGACTCCTGCCTGGGTGACACAGACTTCTGAGCTCACTGCGCTCCCTGGGCCTGAGAGTGCTGACATCAGGTGGGGAGGGGCCTCTCACGCTCCTGTCTGGGTGGTCTGGCTGGTCAGGTCCCCCCCAGGCTGAGTGGGCTGCTGAGTGAGTTGTGTCCATCATCAGGGGGCGGCAGCATCATTGGTGGGCACGAGCCTGGGGAGCGCCGGGGGATTAAAGCCGGCTTCGGTATCTGCAACTGCTTCCCGGAGGAGAAGAAGTGTTTCTGTGAGCCGGAAGACAGCCAAGGTGAGCTGGCTGGGGCCACGCGGGCAGGGATCCCCACACCTCCCTGAGCCCCGAGGAGCGAGGGAGGAAATTGCAGGAAGGCGCGGAAACCCAGGAGACCTTTTTCCTTCCCTCAGGGTCTTGGTTCCCCCATCTGTGCAGACTGGGAGCTGGGTCAGGGTCTCTAAGACTGCCTTCTGGCCTGAAGTTTGGTGGTGTTTTTGGGGGTTTTTTGGCGTGCCATGCAGCTTGCAGGATCTTAGTTCCCCAGCCAGGGATTTTTTTTTTTTTAACATCTTTATTGGAGTATAATTGCTTTACAATGGTGTGTTAATTTCTGCTTTATAACAAGGTGAATCAGCTATACATGTATCCACATATCCCCTCCCTCTTGCGTCTCCCTCCCACCCTCCCTATCCCACCGTCCCTATCCCACCCCTCTAGGTGGTCACAAAGCACCGAGCTGATCTCCCTGTGCTATGCGGCCGCTTCCCAATAGCTATCTATTTTACATTTGGTAGTGTATATATGTCCATGCCACTCTCTCACTTCTCCCCAGCTTACCCTTCCCCCTCCCTGTGTCCTCAAGTCCATTCTCTACGTCTGTGTCTTTATTCCTCTCCTGCCCCTAGGTTCTTCAGAACCTTTTTTTGTTTGTTTTTTTAGATTCCATATATATGTGTTAGCATGGGGTATTTGTTTTTCTCTTTCTGACTTAACTTCAATCTGTATGACAGACTCTGGGTCCGTCCACCTCACTACAAATAACTCAATATCGTTTCTTTTTATGGTTGAGTAATATTGCATGGTGTATATGTGCCACATTGTCTTTATCCATTCATCTGTCGATGGACACTTAGGTTGCTTCTGTTTCCAGCCAGGGATTATAGAACCCGTGCCCTTGGCAGTGAAAGCACAGATCCCTAACCACTGAATCACCAGGGAACTCCCTGGCCCAAAGTTCTGTGGTAAGGGTTGGGCTGGAAAATTATTTCTTTCACCAGATAACTCAGTGTCTGCTCGGACTGTCCCTGTGCAGGGCCTTTGCTGGGCCCATGGCATTGGCCAAATGGGTCCCCATCCTCCTAGCCAGAGCCTCTAGGTGCTTCTTCTGGGACAGCAGGTGCCCCACTGAGCACATGCGGATGTGCTGAGCCCAGGGGTGCTTTTCTGGTATTTGGGTTGTTATTGCACAGCCCTAGGTCCTGGGCCACTTTTCTTTTTTCCCTCCTTTATACTGACTATAAAGAAAATACAAAAGACATCAGGAACACAGGGGAAGAGCTGCACCTCCCCACCAGCGCCCCTGGGCCTCTGGCTTCAGTGCAGCATTCTAGGGTGGGTGGGTGCAGGTGTGCATGACGTCTGTTGTGTGACCTTAGGCGGGCTGCTTATAAACTCTCATTCCTTCTGGAAAAGGGTGGTAACAGTCTCCAACAGCAAAAACGTACAGAACCGTTCCTGCTGTGGGCCGCTTCTGTTGGAGGGTTGGCAATTACTCTCAGACCTTCACACCAGCAGTGCTCTCCCGGATGCTCAAAGCTGGTCACAGCAGACGCTTCCCGGCTGTCCTGGGTGTGGCAGGCTGGAGAGCTGCTCTGTACCAGCTCCTGAGGGTATTCGGGGTCCCCCTCCCGGGGTGTCATCTCTCATGGCCCACCCCCGCTGCCCGCAGACCCGCTGTGTGACGGGCTTTGCCGCACAGTGATCACGGCAGCCGTGCTCTTCTCCTTCATCGTGTCCGTGCTGCTGTCCACCTTCTGCATCCACCGCTACCACAAGAATGCCCACAAGCCACCCATCGCCTCAGCTGAGATGACCTTCCGCCGGCCTGCCCAGGCCTTTCCGGTCAGCTACTCCTCATCCGGTGCCCGCCGGCCCTCGCTGGACTCCGTAGAGAATCAGGTCTCTGTGGACACCTTCAAGATCCCGGTGAGGTTCCCCGTGTGGCCTCGGGGCTGGGGAGGCAGCCGCCCCCGGGTGGGGAGGGGACCTGCAGGTGGCGCAGGCCTCTGGTCTCGGGCAGCTGGGAGGGGAGGGGAGGAGGGGATGGGTCACCTGGGGCTAATGCGTTCTCACCCACTGCGAGGACACCCTGAGCATTCCAGCAGCCCCCTGTCTTCACTGAGCCGCCTTCCAGGGAGGGGCGGAGAGCATGGAGCAGGGTGGAGAATGATGGGTGCTGATTTATATGGACTGAGATCTGGGCCGTTAGGATACGGGGAGGGTGGGCCGTGCTGAACCTGACCGGGAGCTATCCTGCAGATGCCCCAAGCGCTGGGAGGAGGAAGGCTTGGGGGAGGCGCTGAGGAGGACCATGGATTTTATTCTCAGAGGGTGGGACCCCTGGGGGTGGGGCCCATGTTCTGCCTTCATTTCCGCAGGCCGCTCTGTTGGGAGTCTGTGGGGTGGGAGCCCCGTGATGAGGCACTGATGAGAGGCTGGCAGGCGGGGGCTTGGTCAGGGTGGCAGCAGCAGAGAGGGGAGTCTGTCTCTGGCCCTGAGGGACGGGGCACTGAGGGGCCTCTAGGGCACCTGCGGGGGAGCCTGGCCAGGGCCCGTGGCTGGCCGGCCGATGAGGAGTGCCACCCACAGCAAGCAGGCGTCCCGAGCCCCTCCTGCACGGCAGGACCTGGGCCTGCAGTCAGCGTGTGCACGTCAGACACCACCCCGACCTGGCCAGGCCACTCCTCTGCCTGCCGTGCCCTTCAGCGTGCTCGCTGGGAGCGCCCAAGTTGCTGGCAGCTGGGCACTGGGAGGGGCTGAGGGAGGTGGCCAGAGTCGAGGGTGCGTGGGAACAGAAGTTCCCCCCACGAGGCTGGGTAGGGAGCGTTGCGCCGTGTGCAGGAAGCTCGGCACCCAGGGGCCACCATCCGCAGCCCAGGGTAGGAGGTAGCCAGGATTCATAGGAGGTGCCACCCAAGGGGTGCTGGCCCCTCGGTGAGGGTCTGGGCCGTGAGGGCTATTCCCTGACGTGGTGGCCACAGAGGCCTCCCTCCTGACTTCCCTAGTTCCCATCGCTCCGCAGGTGGGGTTCTCCAGCCCCAGCGGCATCTCAGCCTCCACAGCAGGCGTGTGGGACGAGCCGTTTGATTCCTTTAAATGCCCTGGCGGTTTGGGGCTGAGGCGCACGGTGAGAGTGGTGCTGGTAGGTGCATGCGCAGGGGGAACTCCTCCGCAAAAACCACCCTGGGCCCGTGTTGCCTCCAGCCCAGAGCCCAGAGCAACTCAGAGCCGGGCCCAAGGTCCGGGGGCCCCGCTGACCAGCTCCGAGGTCTTCGATGTGCTATGCAATCTTTTGGCCTTTGTTTTGTCTCGTGTAAAGTGGGGGGAATGGTTTTTGACATTTTTAAGAGGATCAAGGATCAAATCAGTGATACCCACCTTAGCGCAGTGTCTGTGAGCAGTAAACTGTTATCCAGTGCAGTGTGGACGCCAGGGCGGCGGTGACCGTGTTGTCAGCACTGACCCTGACTATGGGTTCTTGGGGAACCTGAGACACCAGGACGCCCGGGAACTGGCTGGAAGGCGCCCCTGGCCATGGTGCTGAGAGGAGACTGCCTTGCTCCCAGATGTCAGAACACAAGGCTCTGTTCACTGGGGGGCATTGCGTCCCCAGTGGTGTCATCTCCGTGTGTTAGGCGAGCCTGGCAGGGCACAGCGTAAATAGCACCTGAAGCCACACCCACTCGCCACCCAATTGCAGCGAGGCTTGGGGTAAAGGATGCCCAGTGCTGGCACAGGAAGGCAGGTTCCAGACTGGATTCAGCATCCCCAGAATTCAAGTACATGAGCCAGGCTGGGGGTCTGGGAAGCTGCCCTGGTGTGATCTTGAGTGGGCATGGTATGTGGATGGGACTTCGGTGGGAAGGCAGGGTAATGACTGGGCCTATGGGAGGAGCAGGCTTTTCCACGCGTTGGGGTGGAGGTTCCCGAGGAACATAGTGGCACCTTTCCAGGGGCTGCCACACAGGGAAGGTGTCCTTGACACTCCCACCAGTAGCCAGGGGTCCTGGGCTGGCTGGTAGGCAACTTGGGCCACTGGTGCCAGTTCAGTACTCTTGGGAGTCCTGGGGGGGTCTCTGGAAAGGGCACCTGAAGATCTGGGCTGCTGGCCAGTCAGTGCCTTGTGGCCTGGTGTCCAAAGCGGAGACGGTGCTGAGCAGCTTGGGCCTGACTCCCAGGGAAGAGGCCATGCTCCCCTGTGAGCACCTGTGGGTGCTGAGTAAGCCCCGAATCCCTCATTGGACAGACAAGGACATGGGCCTGGGTGGCACAGGGCATCTTCAGTAGACAGGGGCCAGCAAGGGTACGGACATAACGGAGTCCAGGCTGGTTTGTGGCAACACCTGCCTTCCCGTGCGCGAGACACATCATGTCACGGCACCTCAGGGCCTGACTGTGGGGTCCTGCCCTTGTACATGGTGACTATCATGGGCTGGTTCAGGTGATGGTCAGTTGTCTGCACACTGGAGCTTGTCCACCAGGTCTTGCCTTCTTTCTTTTCTCACCATCTTTCTTCCCTCTCTTCTTGTCTCCCTTCCTTCACACCCAACATAGGAGGATCCAAAGTGGGAATTCCCTCGGAAGAACTTGGTTCTTGGAAAAACTCTGGGAGAAGGAGAATTTGGAAAAGTGGTCAAAGCAACGGCCTTCCGGCTGAAAGGCAAAGCGGGGTACACGACTGTGGCTGTAAAGATGCTGAAAGGTATCTGTCCAGGCAGTACACAATGATGGTTCTGCCACGCACATCTGCGGGCGCCCCAAGGGACGGGTGAAGCCACGCGACAGCCAGGGTTCTGGCAGCTGGCCTGCTGCCTCCTGAAGAGGCCCCCCAGTTGCTCTTCCTGAGTGGCTGCAGTCTGGGGATCCCCACCATGGATGATGTGGGCTGGCGTGGTCCCTGGAGAAGCAGGGTGAGGACGTTCCTCCCTTGGAAGGTTCTGGAGTGGTGCTACTTCTGTACCAGTGTTGGGTAAAGATCCGAGTTTAAATTAAAAGCCCTTTGGGTTTTGGACTGACAGCTCTCCCCAACCCAGTCTGCTGCATTCATTTCTCTCAGCCAAGCATCCACCAGAGTCCTGGTGAAGAGACCACCTGTAAGGACCAGTCCCTGCCCCCTAGGGCCCTGCCTTGCCCAATCCCCACTGGTCCTCAGCGGGTCTGCCCCGCCCCAGGCTTGCCGCAAGCTAGGCATCCTCACTGGAGTTTCTCAGCAGAGACTGGGCACAGCCGGGCTCTGGCCCAGGTGGACCGACTGAGGCCCCGCGGCCGTGCAGTGGACACAGTCGGCTGATGCACACTTGGGTTCAGCAGTCGGGGGGCCGTGCCGTGCAGAGTGCTTCTGGATACTTGCCCAGGCCCTCAGACTGGGGTCGCCCCTTGCCCATGAGATCCCAGGCCCTAAGGGGCACAGTGAGACTGGCCCTGGGTCACCTACATGTGGTCCAGAGAGTCCCAGTGCCCCATCTCCCAGCTGTCTTCTCATTTCCAGACAAGTCTGCACCCAGAGGAGGTGACACAGCTGGGCACTGGGCACTGACCCAGGAGAACTGTGTAGCCACAGCTTTTGTCTCAAAATACCTCCACACCCAAGCTTCTGGTGGGAGCCCGAGCATGCCCTGTCCACCCTTGGGACACGCGTGCTCAGCGTGGCTGGAGGACTTCTGTGATGTCTGGCGGTCTTCACCTTTCTGCAGGGCCTCACCCACCACTGTTGAGCGCTTGGTCAGCAGGTGTTTGGGGACAACAGGGAGTCCCTTTACCTTCCCAGAAGGGTTAACGAGGGGGTCTCTGTGCACCACTGTCTTTGAGAGATGGTGATTGCAGGGAAATAATGCCATTTGTGCGTACAGCCCAGCCCTGGGAGGCTTTCCATGGAAAGATCCGCTCGTGTGGAAGTGTGCTTCTCGGGTTCTTACTCCCCGGAGGCACACGAGGCTGCTGTTGACCCTCCCACGGGCTGAGAGTAGCTCCAAGCAGTGGGACCCTTGCAGGCCTCGTCTGAACCTGGGTAGGATGTCTCTGAAGGGGATAATGGGTCTGTGCAGACCGCCCCCCCGCCCCCCCGCTGTGGGTGCTGTGACCCAGCAGGGCTGCAGAAGGGGCTAACAGAAGGGACCGCTTTGCAACCTGCTGTGTTTACGTGCATTTCAGAGAATGCCTCGGCGAGCGAGCTGCGGGACCTGCTGTCAGAGTTCAACCTCCTGACGCAGGTCAGCCACCCGCAAGTCATCAAGCTATATGGAGCCTGCAGCCAGGACGGTAAGGCCAGCCAGGGACGAGCAGCCGCCAGGCGCGGGCCAGGGGGCTCTGGGCCGCTCCATTCTGCCTCCTTCCCCTTCCCCATCCTTTCCTCCTTGGGCGCCTGTTCTCTCTCCTCCCGGAAGCAGGGTCTCTGGCTCCTGCCTGGAGCTTGCGTGTCAGTGAGAGGGCAGGAAGGGGTGCAGCAGGAGTGCTTGTGTGAGGCCTTCCCCGCAGTGTGTTCCCTGGGCCTGCCAGGGCTGCCATGAGGTCTCTGGGGACATCCTGGTTGTCAGCACCCTGCTCCAGGCAGAGCCCCCAAGGCAGGGAGCTCCAGAAACAAGCACTGCCTCCTGGGCACGGGAAACCAGACATGCCATAAGCTCCGGGTGACCCCAACCCCAGCCCTGCGTGGCAAAGGCGTTGTCACCATCTCTCACTTAAAAGCATCCTGCTCTGCTGGTTTTCCAAACCTGCTGTACCACCCAAGGGACCTCCCACTGTGTGTGTGCGCGCGCACGCGCGTGTGTGTGTGCGTGTGTGTGTGTGTGTGTTTGGGGTGTGAGGGAGACGGGGCTGACAGGGAGAGGGCAGCAGGGACACTGGTCAGAGCCAGCAGAACTCAGGGCTGGGCCTCAGGCAGGACTGCAGCCCAGAGCTGCTGAGAGCAGACAGGAGCAGGGAGCAGGTGGCCACAGGCAGATCCAGACCCTGCCTCTGTCAGCCGTCCCCAGGCCATGCTGTGGCAGGACCGAGGATGCAGAAAGGCCTGACATCCTAGCAGCAGGGGGTGCCTCCCAGGACAGTCCTGAATGTAGTGACCGGCTGCCTGGGGCACACAGGGAAGAGGTCATGCTCGACCACCCAGGCAGCTGGCTTTGGCATGGCTCCCGCAAGGCGGAGAGCCAGTGATGTGAGAGTGAGCTGGGGCTTAAGTCCTCAGGCTGCCAGAATGCAGGCACTTGCCCCCCAGAGCAGGGCTGGGTCTGTCTGCCCAGGTGCCCTAGCCCTGCGGCCTACCCCGTGCTCTGGGAAGCAGTTGCCCAGAGCTGGCCTGACTTCGCCTGCCCGGGGCACCGCAGGCAGCCAGCCCACAGCCCCCTCTGCCCCCAGGGCCGCTGCTCCTCATTGTGGAGTATGCCAAGTACGGCTCCCTGCGGGGCTTTCTCCGAGAGAGCCGCAAGGCGGGGCCCGGCTACGTGGGCAGCAGAGACAGCCGCAACTCCAGCTACCTGGACAACCCGGAGGAGCGGGCCCTGACCATGGGCGACCTCATCTCCTTCGCCTGGCAGATATCGCGGGGGATGCAGTACCTGGCCGAGATGAAGGTGTGTGCCGTCCCAGCCCTGCCCTCCCCTCCGCCTGCCGTGGGCCCGGGTGTCAGGGGTCCCTGCCGTTGTCTCCCTTGCAGCTCGTCCATCGGGACTTGGCAGCCAGAAACGTCCTAGTAGCCGAGGGGCGCAGGATGAAGATCTCGGATTTTGGTCTGTCCCGAGATGTTTATGAAGAGGATTCCTACGTGAAGAGGAGCAAGGTACCGGGTCCTGGGGCTCGCGGGCTGGGTGTGGGCGACTGTCAGGGTACCCACAGGGCAGGGGCAAGATTTTTATCTGGAGAAGATAAAGCAGGTTTTTAGAGTATAAATTTCCAGCCCTCATCCCTAAACCCTTCCCCAGTCCTGGGTCCCCAGAGACCCAGCTCAGGACTCAGCCCCAAGTCTGTTCCTTCTCTTCCTCAGGGCCACACGTGGTCTTGCAGAGCTGCCCGCTGGGAAGTGGGGGCCCTGCAGCTTCTCTCGCTTTTGATCACTATCCTTTTTGAAGGTCACCTAACACTGCAGAAATAACAACCTTCTTCTCTGCAGTTGTTCCTTTTGATTCTACAGGGCGAAGGTCACTGTTTCCTTTAGTCCTTTGCTTAGAGGAGAGAAATGAAATAAACCCAAGCTTGCTATTCATTCCTTGCAGAAGGGAATGAATCGCTTTACAGGTGGGGATTCTCCTGGGACGAGGGCCTGGGAACCCCTGCCTAAGAGAGTTTGGAAGATGCACCAGGAGGCCCTGGAGACAGGGTCTGGAGTCGCAATGTAGGGATTTCAGAAGCTTTTTCCGAGTCACTGAAACAGGTGGTCAGGGCCCCTTCTCGGGAAATCTGGCTCCCTGGCGCGGTCCAGTTCTCTGTGGCATTGGTCTTGACCCTCTAGTTCTGTTGCCCTCTCAGCCCCTCTCCTGCAGCCTCCCTGTGACAGACTGGACAGGGCCAGCTCACGGGTACCTTCAAGACACACAGCTAACCTGGCATTCAGAACATATGCTGCTCAAAAAGAAAAACACAAAAAGGGACGGCATACACCTCAGCTTTGCTCTGAGGGTCAGGAGAAGACCTGGTGCTGCCAGGGGCCGTGAGGGTGATGTTTAATTTCTTCTGGGGTGTCTGTTGTGACAGCACATCTCAGAAGTGCTGAAGGGGAAGTGGAGAGGGGCTGCTCCCTGCCCTGTGGAGGGCGGTGGACAGAGCTTTCCTGTTGACACATAGGTCCTCAGGAAGGCCCTGTGTCATGAAGCAAGAAGCACAATGTGGCCAAGCATGTCCCCCAAGAGCACAGGCTGTAGGCAGCATTGTTAGGAACACCCCCCCGCGAAACAGTCACACTTCATTAAGGATATAAATCCTAAAGAAAAGTTTTTTTAATTTATTTAATTTTTATTTTTGGCTGCGCTGGGTTTTCGTTGCTGTGTGCGGGCTTTCTCTATTTGCGGCGAGTGGGGACTACTCTTCATCGCAGCCCGTGGGCTTCTCATTGCAGTGGCTTGTCTTTTTGCGGAGCATGGGCTCTAGGTGCGTGGGCTCAGTAGCTGTGGCTCGCGGGCTCTAGAGCGCAGGCTCAGTAGTTGTGGCGCACAGGCTTCATTGCACTGCGGCATGTGGGATCTTCCCGGACCAGGCTCAATGTCCCCTGCATTGGGAGCCGGATTCCTAACCACTGCGCCACCAGGGAAGCCCAAGAATACTTTTTTAAAAAAGAATTATAGTAAACGTTGCATTGAAGTCTAATGCATGCCTTTTAAAAAAAAATTGATTTCTGCCTTAAGGCTGACCTATTTGTACTGAAAAGCTATATCTCGAGTTGCATTAGAAAGGATTTGTTAGGTCTGACCCCAGCACCTCTGTGGTAGGGGGCACTCTTTCAGAGGATGCTGAAAGGGCCCTGGGATAAAATAAGAGGTAAAAACCAGCCCGAAGGCACACACACTGATTTCTTCCCTCAGAGCTTCTCAGAAGAGCCTTTAGTGTGTTTGTTTGCATCCGAAGTCCCCAAGATGGAAAATGCTGGATGTCAGTTTCTCAAACTTGTTCACCCTCAGAAATCAAGGGAGACGTCGCTGCATGGTATTTCTGGCCCACCCACTGGGCGGCAGCAGCCAGGGAAGCGGCCATAGGGGGACCTGGCTTGTGCTCAATATCAACTTCTTGGGTTTCTTCTCAACAGGGCTGTGGTGCGTGACAGGCACACGTTGCGTAGATGTGGGCAGGCCAGCTGACTCCCTCTGATGTCTCAGCCAAGCCTGGGAGGGCCAGGCTGGGGCTCCGGCCCCTGCGAGGCGCCAGTCCTGTACCCAGGAACACTCTGGTGTCATTACTCAGCATCCCCTCAGAGCTGGAAGAGCCTGGGACGTGGCCCCCCTTCCCCCCACCCGCCGCCAGTTCCCAGGATGTCAGAGCTACGTTAATGCCTTTCTTTCACACCCTCTTTAGGGTCGGATCCCAGTCAAGTGGATGGCCATTGAGTCCCTCTTCGATCACATCTACACCACCCAGAGTGACGTGTGAGTGGGTGTTGCCTTCCCGGGAGCGGGGGAGGTTACATGTGTATAGGGCCATGCCACCTGTCTCAACACCTCCACTGGGGAGCAGTGCTGGCCCTGAGTGCCTGTCAGTTCATGCCAACCATCCACAGTAAACCCTCCAAGCTGCCGGGGCTTTGTGTATTCACTCAGCAATTGGCGAGGGCCCAGGCAGTAATTCTGAAAGCTGCTTCTTTCAGAGTGTAAGGGTGGAGTGTAAGGGTGTGAGCCATAGCTGCAGACCCCCTCGCCTCCCTCCCTCTCCCCTCCCCTCTCCTCTCTGGGTGTCTCTGACACACAGGCTCAGCCAAACAGTTCCCCTCCTGTGGGCCTGAGCACAGGCTGGGCTCAAGCAGGTCCCTGGGGACTGGTCCCCGCCCAGAGGCAGGGGTGGTCTTGAGTGAGTTTCTAGGCAGGTGCCCCAAACTACTCCAAGTTGGGGACCAAAACTCAGTCTTCCAGGTCCAATTACATTTTATTTATTTATTTATTTTTTTGCTGTACGCGGGCCTCTCACTGTTGTGGCCTCTCCTGTTGCGGAGCACAGGCTCCAGACACACAGGCCCAGCGGCCATGGCTCACGGGCCCAGCCGCTCCGCGGCATGTGGGATCTTCCCAGACCAGGGCACGAACCTGTGTCCCCTGCATCGGCAGGTGGACTCTCAACCACTGCACCACCAGGAAAGCCCCCAATTACATTTTTGATAGTTTTCAAAAATACAACAGACTTGTTTCCAAGTGCTCTGAACAGGCTTGCATATTTTGAATAATGTGGGCTGTGAAAAGGCAGTTCTTAGACAGTTTTAACAACTGTGTTCTGATTACAAAGTTGACCGTAAGAAAATTAGAAATGCAGGGGAAAGCAAAATGAAGAGACTAAAAGCCACTAGGATCCCACCACCCCTAAGTAACTACTGCTGGCCCTCGCAGGCATGGCCTAGAGTTTTCTGTGGCGTGCAGGTATATGCTTTTTGTTACTGTAAGTGGGCTCGTGTGATAATACTGTTTTGTGATATGATTTTGTCCCCACTTCACAGTAAATTTTCTCTCACAGTTAAGTATGTTTTCTATAGAAGTGCTTTTTTTTCTTCTAAGATCTTATGAAAATTTGCAAGCACAAGAAAAGGTGAAGGAACTGTGCAGGGAGCCCTCTGCCCTGTGGCCTAGGTCCCGCCTACGTTTTGACGTGCTTGCTTGGCTGCCCTGTGCCATCTCTGATGCTTCAGAGCATCACCTCAGGGGCCAGCCGTGTGCCCTTTTGGGTGAGGGGGCTGAGCTTGGGCAGGGGCTTGGCAGGGGTGGGGACAGGGCAGGCAGATGGCTCATCCCCACCTCTATTCCCCACCCCATCTGTTAGGTCAGCACAGGCTGAAGCTGTGAGCACTTGGGCCGCTCTCTGTACTGGGGACTAGGGGTCAGACGCTGCTGGGGGGATGAGTGTCTGGTGCTCAGAGGGCACTGCAGACCCAGTGCAGCCACTCACTGGTCCTCTTGTTCCCTGCAGGTGGTCCTTCGGTGTCCTGCTGTGGGAGATTGTGACCCTGGGGGGCAACCCCTACCCTGGGATTCCTCCAGAGCGGCTCTTCAACCTTCTGAAGACAGGCTACCGGATGGAGAGGCCAGACAACTGCAGCGAGGAGATGTGAGCAGGCTTTGCTCCGGCCCAGCCTTCCTCAGACACAGACACACTGGACTTTGACGGGGATGAGACACATGCACTCATTCCTTCCCGCTCCTGGGCAGCCCTGGGTGCCAGCCCAGGGCGAGCTCGGTGGCGGGTAGTGACAGGCAGGGCATGACGGGGCAGAAGTCAGAGAACCACCCTTGGGTGTGACGGCAGATGCTGGGGACCCTTGACTCCACTGGGGGCTGGGTCGGCCTCCTGGAGGGACTTACAGGGGGGGGGGGGGGGAGCAGGACCTGGGGAAAGGTGGTGGAAGGATGAGAGGGTGCTTCAGACCGAGGGAGCAGCTTGAGCCAGAAGCCAGAGACCTGTCCCAGGATGCTTGGAGAGGGGTGGGTAATTCAGAATGGCCCCAAGGGCACATATAGGGGAGTACACAAGTGGCGGCACAAAGGCAGGCAAGGAGTGGGCAGGGGAAGCCTGGACTTTAGCCCTAGGGCACTGGAATCTTCTCATCTGACGGTGGTTCCATCAGACGATTCTCAGAGGACAGGTTGAGAACGCATGAGAAGGGGTCACCTGCAGGCAGAGAGACACTGGTCCATTCATTCTATAAAGCCTGTCATGCGCCTGCCACGTGCTTGGCTCCAGGCTAGATGGGGGAGCGCAAGGGTGAGTAGGTGCCACCTCCCTGGACGGACTGGGCTGGCAGGCAGGGGCCCAGCGCACACCCACACGGTAGCTCTGGAAGCCCTGCAGCCAGGCCAGGGCCCCAGGGGAGGGGGGAAGGTACAAGTCAGAGTGTGATTGGCAGGTGTTTGTGTTCATACCCGGTTCGTCCTTCATAAGAGTTTTAACGACCAGCATTTCTGCCTTAGCCATCATAGCGCCAGACGCTGTGAGCCCCTGCTGACCCCTCAAACTCTGACCCACCTCAGAGAAGGATGTCGGTGACACAAAAACAGCTTTGAAGTTCGGGAACAGAGCCCCCGGGGCCCAGGGCACTATACTGAGTTCGGTGGCTATGACCGGGCAGTCCTTGCTGGATTGTCACCGCCCACCTGTGTGTCCCATCAGGTACAGTCTGATGCTGCAGTGCTGGAAGGAAGAGCCAGACAAGAGGCCAGTGTTCGCTGACATCAGCAAAGACCTGGATAAGATGATGGTTAAGAGCAGAGTGAGTACCCGGAGACGATTCCTGGTGCCAGCTTCCCGCGGGCCTCCCGCCCTCCAGTCTGTGGAGTTCCCAGCGCGGAACGCAGAGCGAGGCTGCCTGGAGGGAGTTGGTCGTGCTGCCCCCAGGGGGAGCCAGCGACTGTACCCTTGTCCTTAATCCAGGCCTTTTGGGCTTCTTTTAAATCAGGAAGAAACCAAGATTTTTACCTTGACCCTTAGGAAGAGCCCTCCACAGATAGGGGTGGGAGGAAAATATTCCAAAGCCAAACAGAATCATTTTCAATAACAGAACATGAGGAAGTAGAGTTGAAATGACTGTGTCCTAAATTCATATGCTGTCAGGGGCCCGGCTAGGGGTGGGAAGTGACTAGAGACCAGGCAGAGACTGTGACAGACAGGAGCCCGCCAGCTGCCCCTGAAAGGCCCCTCACTGTGGACACTTGTAACCTGTATGAACATGAGTGCCGGCATGCCGGGTCTTCTGAATTTTAAGGGATATTTATTTGTTTCCCAGTTTTTTTGTTTTTTGTTTTTTTTGTTTGTTTGTTTGCAGTATGCGGGCCTCTCACTGTTGTGGCCTCTCCCGTTGCGGAGCACAGGCTCCGGACGCACAGGCTCAGTGGCCATGGCTCACGGGCTCAGCCGCTCCGCGGCATGTGGGATCTTCCCAGACCGGGGCACGAACCCATGTCCCCTGCATCGGCAGGCGGACTCTCAACCACTGCGCCACCAGGGAAGCCCTGTTTCCCGGTTTTTAATAGCAACTCATTTAAATTTCTAAAACCTCTGTGTGGGCCAAACAGTCATATCCGTGTGCCTCCAAATTTACAACTTCAGGTGACTGAGGAAGTCAACAAAGTTTCCACTAACATTGATTAAGCAATCGCTGACTCCCGTGTTCTGTGTTAGATGCTGGGCACGCAAGTAAACAAAACAGGCACAGACCTTGCCGTCGTGGTTTCGTCCTTCCATTGACACATTTACTAAAAGTTATTTCTTCAGAGCAAGATGCATGGACTCGGCCACTTGTAATAAAACTCAGCATCAGAGCATCAGTGTACCGTTTGGGTGAACCCTGTGAGCGCAGGGTTGTCCCAAACAAAGGCGATAGCTGATGCCAAGAGATGGCCTTCCTAGAACAGTGCCAAGAACCAGCCAGCAAAACGCTGGAACCATTCTTTACACATTTAACCAGGGAAGTGGAAATAGCAGGTATTCAAGAATCGTCATGCTTGGGAGCTGAAGCCTATCTATAGCAGTGTCCTCTGCAAAACCCACATCAGCGCCTCAGATTTCTGAGTCCTGACATGATGTTCGAGATGCTTGGAGGGAAGCCGGAGAGTGCTTCTTGGCATTCCTGCAATGAGTCATGGGACTGCAGCGAGCTCTCTCAGAGCCTTGGGTTTTGTAGACAGGCTGATTCTCCAGTGCTGGGCCTGGTGCCCCCAGTGCTGCAGAGAGAGAACGAGGACAGTGAGGGAGCACATTTGTGCCCCCAAGGAGGTGATTTTCGAAGGGGGAGCGATGAGGACCATGGAGCAGGGCCAGGCGAGGCAGGGACTGGAGGAGCTCAGTGCTGGCACCCTGGCGAGGGGCTCAGGTCTCACAAGAGGCCAGTAGGCATGGGGTGGGACTCTGCCGGGGCTTCTGCTCTTGGGCAGGGAGTGGCGGGCGTGTCCAGTAGTGGCCTGCGCCAGGGGTGACCAGCCCTCTCTCCCTTCCAGGACTACTTGGACCTGGCCGCGTCCACCCCATCTGATTCCCTGCTGTATGACGACGGCCTGTCGGAGGAGGAGATGCCCCTGGTGGACTGTAATAACGCTCCCCTCCCTCGAACCCTCCCCTCCACGTGGATTGAAAACAAACTCTATGGTAGAATTTCACATGCATTTACTAGATTCTAGCCACGTTGTTCCTCTCTGCACTGTCCTTACTCTCTGTAATGCTTTTTAAGAGTGTTTCTGGTCTGAATGAAGCCAAAGTCTGCTCTGAACCTTTTTGTTTGTAAATGTCTGACTTTGCATCCGTTTACATTCAGGCATTTTTACTATTATGCTTTTTTAAAAGGATGTGAAAATATGTGTAATTACCACACTGCCCAGCAACTTAGGACGATAGAGAAGAAAGAGAGCAGGGCAGAACTCTCAGGGGATATTGAGAAAATGATGACTAAGTCATTTCCTGGGTGGGTATCAAGTCATAGTACTTCTAATTTAACTACTGGGATAAATTTACCTGATCCGGGGAGGCATTTAATTTAGAAAGGAGGAGCCAGCACCACTCTGCCTGCACTAAGAGCACAGCCAGTGGCCTCTCCCCCAGATCCTGCCTGGGTGGAAGGCAGCTCTTGGAGGCCACCTGGTGCTGGGGACCACCATGGCGGGGGGAGGGGAATGGGGGGACACACACAGACTGCTGTTTTCACATCCTTTGCGTTACAAACTGTCATGACAGTTGTCACTTATGAAGTCAGTGCAAAAAGCTGGAGCAAAATGCTTTTTGAAAGAACGTAGTCTGTGGTGCTGTGGTCTTGCAATGGACAGTAAATATGGTTCTTGCCAAAACTCCTTCTTTTGTCTTCGATTCAGTACTTGAAATTTTTTCCTGTTTCCTAACTTCATCATGGATTGTTTTGAAATCTTGGGAGTTTCAGGCATTTTTCTGCTGAGATTGTTCCTTTTGCATGCCTCCTGGGTCACTGATTCCTTACTGGCTAGTGCTACTTGCCATTTGTCCCGTCGACGCTGTGGGGCTCGCCTGCGTGCACCCTTGGTTTGGAAGATTCTCCTCCGTGGTAGGATGGGATGGAAGACAAGTAGGCTCCTTTACGTTAGAGAACTTTTCATAGAAAGTTTCCTGCTGCAGTAAGCCACGTAGTACAGCAAGGTGCTGATGCCTTATGCTGCCTTAGAAAAAGAGTTAAACAGGTCAACAAATATTTATCAGATTTGAGAGTCGGAAGCTTATAAAAGTCCAAATTGGTAGTTTCTGGTAAGCTGCAGTTACCAGAGAGCACGTGATGTTTCCGCCCAAATGTTACCCATGTTTTGGAAACCTGGAGCACGAAACTCTGCAGGCAGTTGGCCCAGAAACCAGAAGTTTGGTTTGAACCTCAAAGGGAGTTTTGCCAAGGCCTTACTGTCTGCACATGGAGTTTGGGTTCTTCAGTGCAGAACAAATGATCTGTTTTCATTTTTAGGCATGTCAGACCCGAACTGGCCTGAAGAGAGTCCTGTACCACTCACGAGAGCCGATGGCACCAACACTGGGTGTCCAAGATATGCAAATGATAGTGTATATGCTAACTGGATGGTTTCACCCTCCGCGGCACAATTAATGGACACGTTTGATAGTTAACAGTTCTTTGTGAAAGGTAATGGACTCACAGGGGAAGAAACATACCGAGAACAGAAAGTCTGCTGGCCCCTCCTTGCACATTTCACACTGGCTGGTGATTTTCCCTCCCAGCAGACGTAGCGCTCTGGACCAGTGTTCTGAGTCCAGCACGTAGGTGTCCCTTCCTCTTCAGTCCATGGCAGCACCCAGCGCTGGTCTGGGTTCAGCAGTGAGCACCACATACTCCGTGCTCACACGTGTGGGTCCCTCACGCACTCTCCGAACTGTTTGATTTTTCCGGTTGCCGCCAAACGAGGCCACACGATTTAAACATGAAGCACACACACCAAAAAGGCAGCAGGAGAAAAAAAACTGGCCCAGACGACCTGTCCTTGTTCAGAATGAGAGCCCGGCCAGGCCTCATAGGGTTGTCAAAGCCCAGCCAGGGCTGGAGAGGGAGAGGGGACCTCGGGACAGGCCTCGGCTCAGCCTTCGAGATCCTGAGAATGTTTTTTTTTTTTTTAAATCATGGAACCTTTTCTTAGGGAGACATTTGATTTTTATCATGATTAAAACGATTGTTAGATTTAGCACAGTGGAGAGACATGATGCCGCATTTGCTGTGTAGGTAGGTGGTGTGAGGGGAGAGGGCTCCCAGGACACAGTTGTTCCCGTCGCTGAGTAATCACTAACCCCCTGACGAGAAGTGTGTGGAGGAGTGGGGCCGTTGAGTGGAGTGGCCTCGTGTCCAAGGACTGCTGACCGCAGAGACTTGCGGTGAATCCCTGCACCCCACAGCCTTCAGCGTCCCCCCATCCAGCGCTGAAAAGTGGCGGAGGCTCATCTCACACATTAGTGGGGTGGAACTTGTGCCCAGTTTCAAAGGGACAGTTCAGCTAGTTTAGAAGTAGCATCGACAGTGACACCTCTGATTACGATTCTGATGGAAAAGGCAGTGTTTTGGCTCTTATAGAGCTTGTGTGAAAAGGTACGTGTATCCACTCTTCCTGTGTTTGTAACATAATGCTGCTATGGTAAGACATTTTTGTTTTTTAGGTTCTGACCATGACTCGTAAGCTTCTTGTCATTCTTCACTGCTTGTTTGTGGTCACAGACACTCAGCACTCCTCCCATCCTGCCGGGGTGGCTTTCAGGAAGTCCCGGCAGCTCTTCTTTCTGTCCCAGCGCTGTCACTTTGCAGGAGAGGGTCAGTTAGCAGAACACTGCCTGGGCTTCATACTTAAACCACTGTGAAAGGACTTAATGTCGTCTCATTAAAATACTGGATTTTATAACCATTTCACAAAAGCAGTAAAATTATGGCATTTTTGTGGCCAGGAAGGCTTGGATGAGTATGTGGAGGAGCCGTGTGTGTGTGTGTGTGTGTGTGTGTGTGTGTGTGTGTGTGCGTGCACGTGCGCGCATGCCCATGTGTGTGCACACACCCAGGAAGAGTGCTGGAGAAACACTTACTGCAGATGCATTGCGGCTTTAGTTCGGGCCATTGTTCAGACACGCTGTGTGATACGTTCTTTTACAAATATCTAGTTGTGGTAAACTTTGGGGTTTCAGCTGTGCTTAATGATAATCTTGTTAAATGCAGAAGTGGGGATAAACTTTCTCAAGTTATTAAGAATGCCTACTCGGTGTGAGTGGGTGCAGCAGGTTGTCCTCGGCAGGGTGAGCACTCCAGGTCTAACTGGCTGACCCAGTGATGGGGAATTAACCCTTGACTCATAATCTAATTGTCTATTCCTAAGTTATAAAGGTACTCATACTTATTAGCCCTATCAGACAGAGTTTTCATATGCATATACGCAGAGATGACTATTAAGCATTACTGAGTATTAAATAGCAACCTGTCCATTATTAAAATTTGTTAAATCTATTTATGAAAGGTTATTAAACCATACCATATTAATTTGCTTTTGTAATCAAGGTGACTAAGAAAATAATCTCAGTTATGTAAATAAAATCGTGTATCTTAAAATGTGTAAACTTCTTTTCTCTTTTTCACTTCCTGGTTGGAAACATCAGGTTTCTGATTTTGAAGTTTCAGTGTAAGGAGTAAGGTGTCACAAGGGAATCTGTTGTGGTGACCACCGGGGAAGTGATACCGATTGAAGGATTAGGAGACCCTTGGTGATACTGTTGACTTGTCTTGCATAATATGTACACGAACAGCCACATTTATAGTCATTGTTAAAACTCAGCTCATCCTGCCATTCAAGGAATTCCTTCCTTTAGGTTTCCTTCCCTAAAATAGAGCAGCAGCCAGTGTCGAGTTCAGGTATTCTCTAGCAATTTGCTGACTGCTTATTTCTTGAAGCTGGAGTTGGACAGTTGTGGGAGAGAATGTAAAATGCATAGACATGACTGAAGGTCCATTAGAGGAAAAATTTTGACCCGAACCACTATGAAACTTAAAATACTAAATGCTTCTGTTTATGTCTTCCTGTCGGGCTGTGTAGGAATGGTATGAGCTCCTCCTCAAAAACCTGGCAAGGAGCAGGTAGGTCAATGGGGAAACATGAGTTGCTACCAGCATAAATCTGATTTGTGGTTGCCTTGTGCATTGGATGCTGAGGGCCTGTGTCCCGTCCTGGGTGCACATGTGCACACACAGTCACGTGTCCACATCACCCAGGGGCTGCCCCAGGCCCACAGTGCCACAGCTCCTGCCCTCAGCACCTGCATCTGTTCTCAGTTTCCTCCTTCAATCTGGACCACAGGGACAGGAAATAAACGTAATTTCTAGGGTCAGTTATTTGCTACAGCCTTTGCCTCTGAATGTTTAGAAACCATGCTGAAAAAAGTTTATACTAAAATACTAAAAACCCCTTTTTCAAGAGCAGAGAACTTCCATTAGGGGAGTGTGTGTGTGTGTGTGTGTGTGTGTGTGTGTGTGTGGTTTATTTTTCTGAAAAAGCACATTCTCCACCAACCTCCACAAAGGATGGCATGAGGCCAGCTTATTTGGGTGGAAATGTAGTTTGAATATAATGTCTGAGAACAGGTCTTGGACAAATACTTAACGCACAAGCGAAAATTCAGAGGGAAAGCATAATTTCCCCCACTATAAATAGAGCATTTTCCCAGGCAGAGGAGCAAATGGTTTCCTCTCCTCCTTCGAGCATGTTAACATGTAGGATATTTGGATGGTGGTATTTAGGGTGGTTCTAGAAAGTGCCTAAGAAATCCTTATCTCCGTGGCCCTGGAAAAGATGTAGTAAGAGTGGGCCCCAAGGGCACATGCAGCAGTTAGGGCACACCTTCCCTTTAGCGTGAACTTGCACGTGGTGTTTACCCTCTGGGTGGGCCTGTACATCCAGAAAACACCCTCCACTGAGGCTGCCTGCCCCACCCTGCCCCTTCTCCACGGCAGCAACCTTGGTAGCCTCATTCCGAACATTGTAGGGACTTTCCTGGCTGTCCAGTGGTTAGAACGTTGAGCTTCCACTGCAAGGGGCGTGGGTTTGATCCCTGGTTGGGGAATTAAGATCCAACACGCCACGCCATGCGGCCAAAAAAAGAAAAAAGAACTTTGTAGAGTCTCCCACCTCTTTAGGGAACTGGGATTCACGTGAACAATTCTTGGCTGAGATCATGAGAAACCAGAACCTGTATGTAGAGAGTTTTTCAATGTGGGGCGCATTGCTGTGCCTGCAGCTGAGGCTGGATGGGTGGCTGGGTGACAGCTGGGAGAATAAGCTTCACACCCAGAGTTAAAGAGGCGCGTGTATGAACACTTGAAAGAAATCCCGGTTAATCTGTGCAACTCAGGCTTTTATTGCTGTGTCAAATGGCAAGATATTTTTGCAGATGTTTCTGGTATGTGCTAAACCACAGGGCCTGGCCAACGGAGATCTCTCAGGGGAGCTGTGACAGGGAGGCCGTCTTGCTGTGGCAGCTTCAGGGACATCAGTGTCACAGGGAACTGGGCTAGGCAGTGTGGAGGGAGCCATGACCAGAGACCACGCCAATCACTGTGACTTCAGGACTTGGGTTCCACATCAGGAGAGACCATAATCCTGCATCCTCTCAGATGACATTGAGCAATCCAATTTCAAAATTGGCGTGGGCAGGCAAGGTAAGGAAAGTACATTCTAAAACTAAGGGGGAAAAAATCATTTTTCGAGAAAGAAACCATTTTGATATTTCATACACAGACTGTATTTACCACGCAGACTGTCAGTTTCTTGAATAAAAGTTCAAAGTTCATTTTTCGTGTCCCTATTTATTGATGTCAGTTTTGTCAACGGTACTCTTTGACTGCACTTGTTTCTTACCTGTAGTCCAGTCCTTTTGTGCACTTGTCATTTCCCCACAGAGGAACGTCATTGCTGTGGGTTGGGAAGAAGGAGGAACGTAAGGCTGCCTTTTGCTACCTGAGGCAGGGGACTTTGTTCGGAGGACTGCAGGTAGCCCACGCATGCCTGTGTCACAGCCTCTGTCCTCGGAGTTTCCTCTCAACCAGAGCATGTGCCTTGCTCCATATTTTCTACCTTTTTTCTGGGAGTTTTAAAGAGCTTGACAATCTTCCTTGAGGCTTTGTGGCCACAGGGCTTGAGAGGCCATAGCTCTTGGATTGCTCAAAACTCCAGGGTAAAGGGGTTGAGGGACTTCATGAATATATAGAAAGAAAGGTAAGATAATAGGAAACAATTTTTAAGGACCGGAAGGACCCAGAAGCGGGAAGGATTCCGGTGCCTCACAGGATACTCACTGAAAGAAGTTAAAAGAAGTGTTGCGGCAGAAAATTCTTTTGTTTGGCTGCACCGCTGCAGCTTGTGGGATGTTGGTTCCCCAACCAGGGATCGAACCCGTGCCCCCTGCAGTGGAAGCTCGGAGTCCTAAGCACTGGACTGCTGGGGAAGTCCCCAAAAGTTGTATTTTTTAAGAGAGGTAAATTACCTAATAATCTTTAGCTTTGCAGAAATAAGTAAGACCACCTAAAGGAGAAGGAGCAGGGGCTATTTATTTTGAACTTAACTACAGCAAGGGAAGAGGCCACCATCACTTGCTTTTGGCAGAGACTCAGAGGCAGGCAGAGGGGTGGGAAGGCTTTACAGGAAAAAAAAATAGTGGGGAGGCTTCCGGTGTGCTGTGATTGGAGGCTGTTTACATGGGGAGGCTGGAGGCAGCTAACCAAGAACAGAGCGTCTTGTGATCACTTGGAGAATATATTTGGTTTTCTCTCGGTTTCAAGTTGGAAATTGGGGCCAATAAAATGGGGACTCTGGCAGTCATTGACTAAACTCTGACCATTCTGGGCTAGTTACTGCAGAGGGAGTGGGTCAGAGTTCGTGGGTCAGAGATCTTCGGTTATATGTGGTCTGGCTACTGTCTGTTCACGTGTTGTCTCTCAGTTCCCCCTTTTCGGTAATTTTCTTGCTTGTAGGTTGACGAATTCAGGTAAGTTTAGAAGTCCAGATCTTCACCACTTAGAAACTGATTGTTCAGTCATCTCCGTGGTTAACTGTACTGTGAGGTATTCTTGACCTTTCTGTTGTCGTATCATCATGGTGATCATCTGATGAGAAAGTGGCTGTGCAGAAGCATTTGAGACCTGGATAGAATGCAGTGGATCAGCATCATGACCACTAGGACAAAAACAAGAACAGTTAATAACCCCTGTAAGATGCTTTGAACCAAGAACCCCAGTCCAAGCCAAGAATAAATCCCATATAGACCATGAGGATCAAATTTAGAGAGCCCAGTAGCTTTGCCTTAAGGCATTGTATAGTCTGTCCCAGCTTCCCTGTTTCATTGATCCAAGTGTGGTATTAGGAATGGTACAGATCATGACTAACCAACAAGAAATCTAGAGCAATGCACCTGTCCATCCCTACTTGTGCCAACAAGATGGGACTGATCTGTGTTCCATCTAGGGAAGAGGTGGTACTGCTAATGACTTCTGCCAGAGTTAGTGATAAGTTTCTTACAATCCTATATGCATGATTCCTTACCGATAGGAACACTGCTCTAATTGTTCACATAAATAGTAATTCCCCCAGGTAGAGTGCTAAATAATCAAGGTGACTGTTTTGGAGCTCGGATTTTTCAGCCTTGGTAATTTACAGACTTATACAGACAAGACTTGTACAGACAAGTCTTGGAATATTATTCCTAACGTGCATGAGATGTTAGTCTGAAGCAAACAGGACCAGGCATCCTGACCACAAAAGATGTAATATCTGGTAGGGATACGTGGAGATCTAGGAAAGAAGTTGTTCGTGACAGAAGGCTGGAACCAGGGCTTACATGAGTTGTGTTCCATGTTTAGATCTCTGTTGGTCTCTTACAGGTGGCAAACATTTGACTCATCACCCTATGGAAGTTATTGAATTCGAATTTAGAATTACCTAAGGTCTGGTCAAT